AAGCGTCAAAAATGCATAAATGGCGTTCCTACTTGAATTCAATTTGTAAAGTCTGTAGACATAATTAACTAACTATAACTTACTTTTTATATTTTTTGAGATTAAGCAAGACGTATGTGACACGAAAAAATTATTTTTTTAAACATTCAAACAGTTTTTTCGAAATTTAAAGTCGACAATTTTTGGTACTTTTTTGCGAATGGCGTTCTAACATTTACTCAATAAAATTATATTTCTGCTTCCAAAAACTGTGCAAAACACCCAAATCTTGTTACTCGGGGATTTTCGGGATCGCTGAACATGAATTTGATGCCTAATTGACAATTTGACAGTTGACAGCTGTCAATTCAACTGTCAACTTCTATAAAAAACAATTATTTTTTATGAAAATAACTATATAAGGGTTTTCGGGGTCGCTGATTACGAATATGAGATCAAATTGACAATTTGACAGTTGACAGCTGTCAATTAAACTGTCAACTTCTATAAAAGACAATTATTTTTTATGAAAATAACTGTATAAGGGTTTTTGGGGTCACTGATTACGAATATGAGATCAAATTGACAATTTGACAGTTGACAGCTGTCAATTCAACTGTCAACTTCTATAAAAGACAATTATTTATTATGAAAATAACTGTATAAAGGTTTTTGGGGTCGCTGATTACGAATATCAGATCAAATTGACAATTTGACAGTTGACAGTTTAATTGACAGCTGTCAATTATCAAATTTTCAATTTGACCACATATTCGTATTCAGCGACCTCGAAAACCCTTATACTATTATTTTCATTAAAATTAATCACTTTTTATAAATTTGACAGTTGATTTGACAGCTGTCGAATTGTCAATTTGATCTCATATTCGTAATCAGCGACCCCAAAAACCTTTATACAGTTATTTTCATAAAAAATAATTCTCTTTTATAGAAGTTGACAGTTGAATTGACAGCTGTCAACTGTCAAATTGTCAATTTGATCTCATATTTGTAATCAGTGACCCCAAAAACCCTAATACAGTTATTTTCATAAAAAATAATTGTCTTTTATAGAAGTTGACAGTTTAATTGACAGCTGTCAACTGTCAAATTGTCAATTTGATCTCATATTCGTAATCAGCGACCCCGAAAACCCTTATATAGTTATTTTCATAAAAAATAATTGTTTGTTATAGAAGTTGACAGTTGAATTGACAGCTGTCAACTGTCAAATTGTCAATTTGATCTCATATTCGAAATCAGCGACCCCGAAAACCCTTATATAGTTATTTTCATAAAAAATAATTGTTTTTTTATAGAAGTTGACAGTCGAATTGACAGCTGTCAACTGTCAAATTGTCAATTTGGCATCAAATTCATGTTCAGCGATCCCGAAAATCCCCGAGTAACAAGATTTGGGTGTTTTGCACAGTTTTTGGAAGCAGGAATATAATTTTATTGAGTAAATGTTAGAACGCCATTCGCAAAAAAGTACCAAAAATTGTCGACTTTAAATTTCGAAAAAACTGTTTGAATGTTTAAAAAAATAATTTTTTCGTGTCACATACGTCTTGCTTAATCTCAAAAAATATAAAAAGAAAGTTATAGTTAGTTAATTATGTCTACAGACTTTACAAATTGAATTTAAGTAGGAACGCCATTTATGCATTTTTGACGCTTCTGTCACTGCCACGCACGACGCCAGTTGGAACGCCATGACGCTCAAGTGGTTAATTAATTTCTGGAAAACTACTCTATAAATATTTTTCAAAAACTAGTATATTGTAGGGATAAACAAAACAAATGATAATAAAAACATTCGATAGAGGTAGCGATACTAAAAACTGTTACCATGTTAAGACTATGTCCAAGTTGTAAAATGTAAACAAACCATATACATTTTTTGGACGTTCTCATTTGAATAAAAAACATAATGTTCACGTTTTCTCTGTAAAAATTGTAAGTTGAAGTATTAAACTTGGTAACTATACCTAGTTTAACTAATAATACGAAAATATAAGCATAATAATTACAAAATAAAAAGTACACTTCTTCACAAGTCACGAAATTTTATCAGTTTGACTATATCAGACGCACGGACGGTGAAGACTTAGCGGGAAACAGAGTCGAGGGATTAGACTGTCACATTTGAGAAGGGGAACTTTGGTCTGACTCTGCCGCATGGTAGGGGCACCTGGTAAAAAGATTACCCCCACTGAGTGACCAAGTCAAGCCAGAATTCCCTTTCCCGTTTTTACCGTCCAATCGCACGATTTTACCTCCCGCCAAGTCTTCAACGTCCGTGCGTCTGATATAGTCAATCTGTTAATATTTGTGACTTGTGAAGAAGTGTACTTTTTGTTTTTTATGCTTATTTTTCCATATTATTAGTTAAATTAAGTATAGTTACCAAGCTTAATGTTAAGAATTTTTTTTTTTTTACAAAAAAGCATTTTTTTGTCAAAATTTTACTTTATTTCCTCAAAAAACGTATTCTTTGCGTTAAGACGAATTTTTTGACCTATATTTAGTTTATATTTTACCAAAATTTACAGATGAAATCATTGTTTTTAGTTTTTTAAAAAAATTTAAATTTTTTATTTTTTTCTTAATAAAAGTTTTAATAAAAATTTCATTGCTTACATAGAAACGAATTGATTGATCTATATAAAGTATACATTTTATCTAAATTTATAAAATTAATCGTTATTTTTTATGTCAGCAAAATCTTCAAACGTTGATATAAAATTTTAAGTAATTAATTTACTTGCTGAAGTTGAATATGTAAATAATTTTATTTTATTTGTGTTAAATACTAGAGTAAATAAATAAATTTAAATGTTGTAAATTAAATTAAATCTTTTTTGTGAGGAAGCATAATGTTCGTGAAATGAACATCAAGTTCTTTTATAGAAAAGAATACAATACTTGGTTTACATAATTGTAGTAAGTTTTAATGTTTTGAAGAGAAAAATATTTATTTAATATATTTTAGAAAATAAACGATTTTTTGCGCAGATAAAAAAACAAGCGTTTGCAAAATTAAACCCAATAGTGTATTTTTATCAATTTTTTCATATTTTATATTTTATGATTAAAAATTTGAAAAAATATTATCACTTTTATTATTTTTAAAATGTTAATATTTTTCAAAATATGAAATCTTTGTTTCATGCAGGACATGTTAAACAGTCACAGCATGGTCAACATTAAAATCAGCTACCAAAATCTTTACTAAAACTAATGAAAAATAAAAATGAAAAAAACCCCAAAAAAAATTATGTTTTTGGCAATTTTGTCTTTCTGATTATTTTTATATGAAATATATAAGTCTTAAAGAAGTAAATATAATGAATAACAGATTCCGTTCTCTAACCTCTCATAACGTTTTTTTATAAACATTATAAACTACTTACGCAATTTTTTTCATTACTTGTCTTCTAGACTTCCGTTTGGTCGAGGGGTAAAAATGCACCTCTGAAGTAGATTGTTTATTTTTTTGATTTTCCATTTTCAATAATATTGCAATAAATAGATCTCTAATAACTTTTTTCGATCGAACTGATTGCTACACTATAGTAAAAAAATTACCCCCTGGTGTTTAGAATAATAGTTTTTTTTAAAAAGGTGATCTACTTTACCTACATTCTTATTTTCGAAATATTGCTTTAGATTTTTTATTTTAAAATTACACCTTTGTTATTATTTCAAATGCAATTTTGTATTAGTATTGAATATGAATACAAGAGGTTTCTTAAAAACATGTAATTTATAATTCAACAAGATAAATATTTAGTAACTAATTCGAAATATTTCTGATATGAAAAACGTAAATTTTAAAAAATGCTTTTATTTAAAATAAACCATTTTATTGCAAAGCCTCAATTTGTAATAGTTTGAAAAATAAATAAAAAATTTAATTGAGAATCTTGTTTTAATAGGAGAAGTGCTAAGTAATTGTTAATTTTTATTTGACATTAACATATTTAAAAATTACCTAATAATGTAACTTTTCTTCCAAAATTTATATTATTACACGTGAAACACAAAAAAATTGATGCCAAGTAAATAATTAATTATTATTAAAATTTGTTATAGTTGTTAAAAGAAAAAAAGTAATTACATATGGTAAAAAGTGAATTGATAATCATAAGTAAATTATTGCTGAGTAATTATTTTTTATATAAATAAATCGAAAGAAACTCATAAAAAAATTTCTTTATAATAAATTTTTTTATTGTTATTATTATTATTGTTGTTGTTAATAATTTCGTAATTTATTACTAAACAAGTTATTAACATTAACAATTTTTACATGGAGTTTATTATCATAATTCTGACGTTCATTATAAGAAATTTACAGTATAGAATTTAGAATAGGGGTCATTGACTTTTCTAGAATCCTGCATTATGAACCAAACACCTGTCTTATTGTGCAGGTCAGAATTTATGACACGTGCTAAAAAGTCGTAGACCCTTGGTAGGACCGTTTATAGAAGCATACAAACCATCTGTACAAAGTGACGCGTGCCGGCGTATGCCTCTAATCTTGGAACAGACATATATGTATAGGGTGTCCTAAATAATCAAGATTAAATTTTTAATTATTTTTTTTATTAAAAAAATATATATTAATGGGAAATTTTAATTCCGATTTTTTGACATATTTCGATTCAACTAGACCTCAAGATTCAAAAGTAATTTGACAAAATGATCGTGTGTGTATGTTTAAAGGTGACAAAACATTCGCACATTCTGAACGATTTTAAAGAGTTGCGATTATTTTTTAAAATAAAATCGACAAAGTAGTCCTTATTCAAGCGGATATCTTTATATAGAACTTTTATAAAATGCATCGAATTATTGATATTTGAGGAAATAATTATAAGGAAAGAATTACGAGGAAATAATATGACAATTCATAGTATATCTTGTATGAAAAGTATTTTATTAGTAAAAGACGTTTTGGCAAGTAATATAATTTATAATTTCACGACCTGTGCTACTTCCACCTCCTCTCCCTATTTGTCCATCTTCTCTTCTATATCCAAACCCTCTCCCTCTTCCATACCCATATTCAAATCCTCTTCTTCTCTGTCCATCTTTTCTTCCATACAAATTTCCTCCCCCCCTTTGTCTAACTTCTCTTCCATAATTAAATCCTCTTCCCCTTTGTCCATCTCTTCCTTGTCCGTATCCATATGCAAACCCTCTTCCCCTTTGTCCTTCTCTATCACATCCTCTTCCCCTTTGTCCTTCTCTTTCATATCCTCTTCCCCTTTGTCCTTCTCTTTCATATCCTCTTCTTCTTTGTCCTTCTCTTTCATATCCTCTTCCCCTTTGTCCTCCTCTTTCATATCCTCTTCCCCTTTGTCCTTCTCTTTCATATCCTCTTCTTCTTTGTCCTTCTCTTTCATATCCTCTTCCCCTTTGTCCTCCTCTTTCATATCCTCTTCCTCTTTTTCCATCTCTTTCATAACCTCTTTCTCCTTCTGACCTGCCATTCTTTCTTTTTAAATTTTTTAGTTTTCTCCCTAAAAAAACAATGAAAATAGTAAAAACAAGTAGTGTATTCTTCTCTATAAAAGAACTTGATGTTCATTTCACGAACATTATGCTTCCTCACAGAAAACATTTAATTTAATTTACAACATTTTAATTATTTAAAATTTAAAAACAACGTTTGTAGATTTTGTTTTTTTTTTGTTGTTGTTATTGTTCAATAATACTGATTTTCTCTAAATCACAATGTCTACATTTAGTTCTGTATGTATTTCCTTAAATCACTTTTATAGATAGAAATAAAATAAGTTTCTCTAGGAACGGACACTACCTTGGGCACCAAGTGGGGAAATCACTACAGATTCTCCTTACACGCATCTATTTGGACTGTAAGAGTGGATGTGCGATTTCTAGGGGGGATTTTAATTATGGTAGGGATTCCACGCCGGTAGACCATTGACACATTCATTTCTCCGTCTAATCGACGGGTCTATAGTTCCTCCCTCACTCTCTTAATCTCCTCCCTCTGCATAACCGTCCTGTCATTCGACATCCAAAGATCTTCTAACTCCCTTGAACGTGTTGAGTCTCTTTTGACACTTACAAATTTTTTTAGAATTACTTGTGCCTTCTCTTCCGTCTCACATACAATCTTAACAGGGCGAGGCTTACGAGAAACCTGCGCATTAGAACCAATTCTAAATGTGCGTATATTTTCAAGATCATCTGTTTGAATGAATTTTTTTAATTTAGTCGTAACCACAGATTTCAAAGAACAACTATTATTTGACAAAGTGTCAAATTCTGGAAGATTAAATAAAACAAGATTGTTCTTTCTTTCATTTCGATCAACAAGTTCATTTATACAGACATTAGTTACTGAATTAGAATCAATATTTGTAGAACCATTTGCCTCAGATTTATCAAGTCTCTCTTCGACAATATTAAGACGCTCTGTCAAATCAACAACTCTGCTTTCCATATTACTTAACCTACACAGTGTGTCATCGAGTTTTTTGTTGATATCTGACATGTTTTCAGTCATATTGGCAAAATTATCAGAAACTGTTGTTGATAAAACCTTAATAGCTCTCAAAATACTATCCAAGTTAACAGAGGTTTGTGAAGATTGAGAATTATTTGAAGGAGACAATGACCTAGGTTTACAACATTTGGTGAACGACCCATCAGGCAAAGTAGACAGCTGTAATGCACAGCTGGGATGATAAGGAAGATTACACTTCCTACACAAAGTAGGAATAGCACGTGTAATATCTTTACCACATTTTGCACAATTTTCAACACTAGAGGCCATTTTTGCACACGAATAATCATTCAAATAAAAATAAAAAGTAAATTGAGCGAAAGCAGTTCCAATTTAAGTTACATAAACAAAAAACTTCACATAAGTATATCAGTCCAATGTTAGGTTAGAAAAAATTCAAATCAGTGAGCCAAGTTAAGGCAAATGGTGCAGATAATAAAAAACTTTCACTAAAAACCAGCACAAAATAATGTTTAAAACTATAAGGTTGCAAAAGAACAGACCAAACTTAAACCGTTTTATTTAAACAAAATCAACCGAGACACATGTGAACACGTGTTTAGTAGCTGCCACCTAGCGGCAAAAAAAAAGAAAAAAAAACGATTTATTTGATAAATTTAGATAAAATATATACTTTATATAGATCAATTAATTCGTTTCCATGTAAGGAATAAATTTTGAGTAAAATTTTTATTTAGAAAAAAAGAAAAAACTTTTTTAACAAAAACCAAAAATTAAAATTTTTTAAAAAACTTAAAACAATGATTTTATTTATAAATTTTGGTAAAATATGAATTTAATATAGGTCGAAAAATTCGTCTTAACGCAAAGAATACGTTTTTAGAGGAAATAAAGTTAAATTTTTACAAAAAATAAATTTTTGCCTTTTTGAAAAAATGGCAAAAAAAATTGTGTGGATATTTTCGAAAATCCTTGTGTCCAATTTTTAGTAACAGTGAGTAGTATAAGCATGCAAAATTTTATAGCGATCCGTTAACAATTGTTGGAGATAATTTGTACACAAGAATCGGTGCCATACCGATTTTTTTTGTCAAAATTTTTTTTTTAATGCATTTTACCAATTGATAGAACATCAAAAAATCTATCGAAACTTATATTAATAAAAAAAATTTTATTTCAATATTTAACAAAAAAAAATTATTAAAAAATACGGTGTACCTTAAATGCCTAAAATTTCAACCTCCCCTGGCGGATTCGATTTGCGTAATGTCTACTTAACTAAGCGGACTTTAGGTAGACATTAGGTAGACATGTAAAAAAACGTATAAAAAAGCTATTAATCGACTTATTATGATAAAAAAAAGTTGATAAAAGGGTAAATGAATGTTTATAGAGTAAATTCGTACAAAATTTGTAATTAATAAAGCAATAAATAATTAATAATGAATGGAAATGTGCGCGAGGTACCTGATCAGTTCAGCTGTACAATTATTTTCGTGCTATTTTCATGAAAAGAATATAAATTAACTCCAAAAACAATTGATATTTATAAAAAAGTGTAAAATTGATTTAATTTGAGTGTTTGCAATACGAATTATTAAATAATAATTAAGTTTTTATCAAATGTGAATAGTGTTGTGAAAACCTGTGAAACCTAATGAGTTACTACATTACCGATCGCATATGATAATAAAAAGTTCTCGATGAGTGTAACAAAAAAGCTGCAATCATGTCCGTAATTTTGGACGAGAAACAATTATGAAATCAATAATTATTTGTATAACTTTATTCTGCATTTTAAAATTCACTTTTTATTTTCTTTCAAAGCATAAGCTTGGAAGAAAACATGCTCGCACTGTATTGTAAAAACTGGTGGCGCCATCTCTGGCAATCTCGGAAATTATGTACTTGGTTAAATTGGAGCTTTTTTGTTACACTCATCGAGAACTTTTTATTGTCATATGCGATCGGTAATGTAGTAACTCATTAGTTTTCACAGGTTTTCACAACACTATTCACATTTGATAAAAACTTAATTATTATTTAATAATTCGTATTGCAAACACTCAAATTAAATCAATTTTACACTTTTTTATAAATATCAATTGTTTTTGGAGTTAATTTATATTCTTTTCATGAAAATAGCACGAAAATAATTGTACAGCTGAACTGATCAGGTACCTCGCGCACATTTCCATTCATTATTAATTATTTATTGCTTTATTAATTACAAATTTTGTACAAATTTACTCTATAAACATTCATTTACCCTTTTATCAACTTTTTTTTATCATAATAAGTCGATTAATAGCTTTTTTATACGTTTTTTTACATGTCTACCTAATGTCTACCTAAAGTCCGCTTAGTTAAGTAGACATTACGCAAATCGAATCCGCCAGGGTCCTCCCCCTTAATAAATATTTGACTAAATGGAAAAATATTTTTACCAAAAATTAACATCTATGAGTACTATAAATGCCCCAAGTTTAAGCGTGATTGGAGAAAATTTTTTTTAAACCTCTGTCACTTCTTGTGGAATCGATCATATTTCAATAAAACTAAAAAAATAGACATAAGTACAAAGAAAGCATCCTTACTGTTGTTCTTTTCGCCTCTCGCGTTTGTTCTCTCTTGAAAGAGGATTTTTAACAACACTTTCATCTGAAAAAATAAAAATTAAATTATTAGAATGTGAAAATTTTGATCCACGGAAGGTATTTTAAATAACACAAGTTTTATGTCATTTTTTAATTTATTGCTAAGCAACGTTTCGATAAATTAATTTTCACACAATTATATTTAAAAAATTATAATTTAATTTTATGCCCTGAATTGTACAAATTTTTTGATTTTTTTCAATAAATGCGACTATTTTACGTATGTACACATGCCACAAATCGATATTATGGAGGGGAAAATAGTTTTTGTCGATTTAAATTACGAAGATAGATTAAAAAAAGTAATTTTTTAAAAATAAATTTAATTATTATTAATAATAATTATAATCAGAGACCGTCACAGAATGAAAACAAAATTTAGAAATACTTTTGTTTTGTTTCGGGTAAAGTTACGGAATAAAAAGTCAGCTTTGTTTAGTTTTGATTCGGATATCTGAATCAAAATTCAATTTTGTTTAGTTTTGATTCGTATATCGGAATCAAATGTCAATTTTCTTTAGTATTGATTTTTGAAACATCAAAATCAAGAAAGCCAAAAAAATTTCGGCTTCCGTGAACGTTCCTAATTAATATAGATACTTATTTCTATTTTCATTAACAATTGTTATTAGATTATTAAATAAATTTTATCAATTCCTTAATAAGAAAGTTTCATAGAAATATTTTGAAGAAATTTTATTTTAAAAAAATTAAAACTTTAGCATTAAACTCAGAAACATTTTCAAAAAAAAATTGTAATTTACAATTTTTAATCAAATTTTTGAAGTCTAATTTATGATAACTACTCGAATTCAATAACTACGGGAAATATTTAAAATAATAAAATTTTTAAGGATTTGGGTTAAAACATTATTGAAATCATTTTAAATTTAAATTGCTGAAAATTCTTAACAAAATTTCAAAAAATAATTGAATTATAGAAAATTAAGAAGTGTTTTAAATAATGAAAATTTCAAAGAATTCGATTAACGTTATTAGAAAAAATAAATTCAACAGCAAATTCAGATTAAAAATTTGAAAAATAATTTAATTTTGAAAAGAGCTAAAGTTAAGATTTTTAAAAGTAATTTTATTTTTACGAGATTTTTAATTGAAATTGTCGTAAATTATAATTTCTGATTATGTTTTTAATAAGCATCAGACAATAATTAAATTTTTGAGTATTTTAAATTCATAAATGTTTTTAATAATTGAGTTTTTAAGAATTTTCAGTTGAAAAATGTTTTAAATAATGAATTTTTTAAAGAACTTGATTACATTTATTAAAAATAATTAATTTTTTAGAAGAATTGCAGTTAATATTTATTTAAAATAATTT